ATATTTCTAAAAAAATACGACCTTAATGACCCACATGCCTTTTAACGGCCCTTTCTACTTTTAAATTAAATTTATTCACAACATACAATAGCGAATATATAAATGAATAAAAGTAATGAATATATATTAAGGACAAAATTACTCTGGCAAATGAAATTACAACTTTTATTAAAGGTTATTAAAGTGAATCGGGAATGGAGGCAGTCGACAGTCTTTTTTTTTTTTTAATTTCTTCGTTAAAAATAAAAGAGAATCGAATTTTCGATCTATCTCACAAGCAATTGTACGAACCTTTATAACTATCTATTATTTGATATTAAGAATGAAAGTCACAATAACGTGACTGGAACAATACACAAATAACCCGCATAAAGGGGAGAGAAAAGCTTATGACGACGTTTCAGTCCGTTTAGGACAATTTAGGAGTCACACAGACATAAGAGAGATAGTGAGCCAGTATATATAGGTATATATTATCTCTCAGTCCACAGCAGGATTCGAACCTGCACACTGTATCAAAGTACACAGTACTTTCTCCACTCAGCCAGATCTGGGATCTGGCTTATTGGCTAAAGTACTGTGTACTCTATTACAGTGTGCAGGTTCGAATCCTGCTGTGGACTGAGAGATAATGTATGTCAAAAGTTCGCCCGTTTGCGAATTGTTAAGCACAGGTATATAAAAGTGCATTACCTCTTCATGTATTTACCTCGAACTGCTTACAGTGTAAACGACTTATATAACGTAGCTGTTAGTTCATCCACCTGGACTGGTATCGACAGCGACTCCGTTACCCTCAGAGTACAATCCAACAGCTTAATTTGGATGTCATATTATATAACGCGGTGAACCGGTGTGGATCAGCCTAAGGTGTTGTGGCGGCTCTATTCTCCGCCTGCCAGTCGCGACACAGCTGCAACGGGACTGATAATTGTTCGGTTCGTTAGTTAAGTGTATCGACTGCATGAGGGTCATTAAGGTTGAATGTCGCCTCCACACTACCAGTCCGGAATATTTTAATCTTTCATAAAGGAATTAAAGCAAACTCTAAGTGCATGCACATTGAACGGTACAAACATTTTCGTGAATATTAAATGAGATATATACACCTCTCGGTGTTTATACACCGGGTGATGTATATCTCATTGTATGCTCATTAAGAGATATATACACATACACGTCTCTCATTGTATATACACACTTCTCAATGTATATACACAAATACACACCTCTTACTGTATATACATAGATACACACCTCTCACTGTATATACACATAAATACATACTTCTCACTGTATATACACTAAGAGATATACACACATCTCAGTGTATAAACAGGAATTTCTCACTTTAGTCATCGATAAGTTCTTGGAAACTGCGACTTTAAGCGAAATGACGTATAACGAAACCAGTTTTACCATAGACTAATTGATATAAACAAAAGTTAAGTTGCTAGGGCGAGAGAGAGTTGAATAGGAAGGACAGTAGTGCTGCAGACGCCATGACTATGGAGTATGTCGCTCTGGGGCGTTATAAAGTCGTACAATTGCTGTTACTGACATTCTTATTATTTTAGGTATCACATTTTTTCAAACTTATATAAGAAACACGCTACATATCATAAAAACTGAATACAAACACCCATAAGGGAGGAAAATGACATAAGCGAACATGGAGAGTTAGGTCGATATATGTCCTCCATCCAGTAAAGAGATACGCACACTTCTCAGTGTATATTCACAGAAATATACACTTCTCACTGTATATACACTAAGATATGCACACCTCTCAGTGTATGTACACTGAGAGATACACATCTCAGTACATATATACTCAGGGTGGAACTGGTAGTCCATGGCAGTAGTAAGTGTCAATCCAAGATCAAGGTTTCCGGAGACCTTGTATGAGGGTCATCAGTGCTATCTGCATAGTGACAGCCTCATTGTCAATAACATATCGATCTCTGATACCTGACTCTCAACCAGCACCATTTCAAATACATCCTTCTGGTATACTATCCCAATCTTCTGCTATACTATCCCAATCTTCTGTTATACTATCCCAATCTTCTGTATACTATGTCAATCTTTGCTATACTATCCCATCTTCTGCTATACTATCCCATTTCGTCTTCATCTCTGCTATACTATCCCAATCTTCTGCTATACTATCCCAATCTTCTGCTATACTATGTCAATCTTGTGCTATACTATCCCAATCTTCTGCTATACTATCCCAATCTTCTGCTATACTATCCCAATCTTCTGCTATACTATCCCAATCTTGTGCTATACTATCCCAATCTTCTGCTATACTATCCCAATCTTGTGCTATACTATCCCAATCTTCTGCTATACTATCCCAGTCTTCTGCTATACTATGCCAATCTTTGTTATACTATCCAATCTTCTGCTATACTATCCCAGTCTTCTGCTATACTATCCCAATCTTCTGCTATACTATCCCAATCTTGTGCTATACTATCCCAATCTTCTGTTATACTATCCCAATCTTCTGCTATACTATCCCAATCTTGTGCTATACTATCCCAATCTTCTGCTATACTATCCCAATCTTGTGCTATACTATCCCAATCTTCTGCTATACTATCCCAGTCTTCTGCTATACTATCCCAATCTTCTGCTATACTATGTCAATCTTGTGCTATACTATCCCAATCTTCTGCTATACTATCCCAATCTTCTGCTATACTATCCCAATCTTCTGGTATACTATCCCAATCTTCTGTTATACTATCCCAATCTTCTGCTATACTATCCCAGTCTTCTGCTATACTATCCCAATCTTCTGCTATACTATGCCAATCTTGTGCTATACTATCCCAATCTTCTGCTATACTATCCCAATCTTCTGCTATACTATGTCAATCTTGTGCTATACTATCCCAATCTTCTGCTATACTATGCCAATCTTCTGCTATACTATCCCAATCTTCTGCTATACTATGTCAATCTTGTGCTATACTATCCCAATCTTCTGCTATACTATCCCAGTCTTCTGCTATACTGCCAATCTTCTGCTATACTATCCCAGTCTTCTGCTATACTGCCAATCTTGTGCTATACTATCCCAGTCTTCTGCTATACTGCCAATCTTGTGCTATACTATCCCAATCTAGTATACCATCCTAATCTTCCGCTAAACTATCTTCCGCTAAATTATCTTCCAATCTTCTGCTATACTGTAATAATACTTTGCTATACTATTATAATCTGCTATACTTCCCTATTCTGCTAATGTTCTGCTATGCTATTCAATACGATCCTAAAAATCTAGTATCCTAATAGGTAGTATTTTTGAAATGTTGTAGCCATGGTATTGTGACGTTATTTTTCAATCATCTTTACAACAGTGGCAACAACGTTTCTAGGCTATTTCTTACCCTCTCTTTTGTTCAAGAGTTCTCAAGTGTGTTCTCTGTTACATTCTGTTTTTATTTTCTCTTTCTTTACGTTTCTTGCTTGTTCTTATTACTGTTTTCTTTACGTTTCTTGCTTGTTCTTATTCTTGTTTTCTTTACGTTTCTTGCTTGTTCTTATTCCTGTTTTCTTTACGTTTCTTGCTTGTTCTTATTCCTGTTTTCTTTACGTTTCTTGCTTGTTCTTATTCCTGTTTTCTTTACGTTTCTTGCTTGTTCTTATTCCTGTTTTCTTTACGTTTCTTGCTTGTTCTTATTCCTGTTTTCTTTACGTTTCTTGCTTGTTCTTATTCCTGTTTTCTTTACGTTTCTTGCTTGTTCTTATTCCTGTTTTCTTTACGTTTCTTGCTTGTTCTTATTACTGTTTTCTTTACGTTTCTTGCTTGTTCTTATTACTGTTTTCTTTACGTTTCTTGCTTGTTCTTATTCCTGTTTTCTTTACGTTTCTTGCTTGTTCTTATTACTGTTTTCTTTACGTTTCTTGCTTGTTCTTATTCCTGTTTTCTTTACGTTTCTTGCTTGTTCTTATTCCTGTTTTCTTTACGTTTCTTGCTTGTTCTTATTCCTGTTTTCTTTACGTTTCTTGCTTGTTCTTATTCCTGTTTTCTATGTCTAACTTTTGTCTATCATCTTTCTTTTTCCTCTTCGCCTTCTCCTTTTTCTTATTCTAATTATTATGATTATTATCATTATTATTATTTTACTACTTTATCATTGCTTTATTATTTTTCTTTTCTATTTTTTATTATCTCCATCGTCATTATACTTTCCATTAACTACATTTTCTTTGACTTTCTTTACTATGGTTGTTTACCTCTTTAATACAACAAAATTCATGGGTATATAATCATATATAATACAACAAAATACATCAGTACATAATCATATATAATACAACAGAATACCTCAGTATACAATCGTCTATAATGCAACAGAATACATCAGTATATAATCGTCTATGTTACAAGAGAATACATTGATAATACAATATTAAAACCAAGATAAATTAATATATATGATTTCGGAAAGAATAATCCTCAATTACAGAAGGTAAAGAAGAAAGAGGAATTTAATATCTTTTATAACAAAATAATTAAAACAAAAGCGCCATTAAATTTATTCGTGTAAAAACAGATGCACACTGAAAGTGGCTGAGAAAAACATTTGGCGAACACAAACTGTTTAAATGTTATTAGTTTTTTTTTTTAAATGAATATATGTGTGCTGATTTTAGAGCATTTTATTCTGTCTCGATTGAATGGATTTTTAAATGCGATGATAATGTTTGAGCGAAGTAAATGAAGGCGTTTGAATATCATGATTGCTCTGTTAGTTTTGCGGATCTAATGCCTTGTTTAGTTTTAAACAGACGGGAATGCAGCTTGAATGTTCAACGCATTCATTCTATTTTCTTTTTAATGTGAACAGTAAAATGGTATTTTATTTTGGTTATGTATGCAGTTCCTCTCGTGGAGCAGTAAAGGTTCTCTTTAATATCCACAAGCGTTGGTATCTTACCTGTTTCTCTAAGAAGGTCTGCTTGGTTCCTTAACAGGAATGTAATGTATATAAACGATGGTTATGCTGACAGCTGAGCTGGTTCGCTGTGCTAGGAGTGTCACCAGTGACAACAGTGTGACCGCAGTGCCAGTATTGTGAGAGCTGTACCGGTTGTGTAATGTGGTGTTGAGTAGTAGTAGTGACCTGGACAGCGCCTCCAGAGGATCACTGAAAAGCTAGACAAATTACTTCCCTTCAGCTGCCTCGTGCCATACAAGAAAAACAAAAATAAGGTGATTGTCAGAGAAGAATTGTGTGTTGTAAGAACAAGAAGAACTTGCCACTGACAATTCTGTGACTCGCATCATCCAGAAATAAACTTTTCACGACTATTGTTTTAAGTAAAAGAAGCGAGACCAAGCTTCTGGCAAGGTAACAAAAGACTTTCATTTTTGCTGGTGGAAAGGTCACTAACTTTTGTTTCATAGAGAGGCTGCATCATCATCAACAGCTAATACCATGGATCAGCCGACAGAACTCTCTGCCATGACCCAAGGCTTTCCTATGGACGTGAGTGAGTTGCCAGAAATCGATAGCCTGGAAAATCTCACGCTCTCAGACTTCGGCAACCTAACCAAGTTACCCATCAACATTTCCTGGCTCTTCAACATCTCTGGAAGCATTGACGAAGATGTCTTGGAGAAGTTCCAGCGCAACAGACGAGTCAACGATGGAGCATACTACGCTCTCATCGTAGCCTACAGCCTCCTCATCATCTTGGGTTCAACGGGCAACTCCCTGGTAGTAATGGCGGTCATCAGAAAGCCGGCGATGAGGACGGCACGCAATGTTTTTATTATCAATCTGGCTATTTCAGACCTACTGCTGTGTCTGGTGACGATGCCACTGACGCTAGTGGAGCTCTTCTCGCAGTACTGGCCCCTTGGAGACCATCCATTCCTCTGCAAGCTGGTGGGGCCGCTGCAAGCCACCTCCATCTTCGTCTCCACCATCTCCATCACCGCCATCGCCCTCGACAGGTACCAGGTAAGTGTTAACCATCATTCTCTCTTTCATTATTGTCTTAAACACGACTGGTGGTCATAATACACGTTTGCTGACTGGGGCGACAAGCTGACGAGTGGGTATACCCATGTAATATAAACATCAAACTTCACAATTACATTACAGGTACGCCTCAGTATGTATAAACAAGTAATATTGACTACATTGATAAAGTCATATTACAGCGACAGTGGCTGCAGACACGTAATAAAGACTACAGACTTGATAAAGCTATGTTGCATGCACAGCAGACGCCTACGAGCTGTACCTCAAAACTTTTAATTAATAATGGAGCTGCAGCTCAACTACTGAGCAAAATATCGCCTAAAATCAACGCTTGGTGTGCGTAATCTTATCTATTTATAAACTCTTTATTGATGTCTAAAGAAGACCTCAGACGATGGTCAAAATATAGTCTCTATCTACACACACACACACAACACACACACACACACACACACACACACACGCAAAACACGCACACACGCACACACACAACAACACACCAAAACACACACACCCAACACAAAACACACACACAACACACATATGTTTCGCCCTCGTGGCGAAAACGTTTCCTTTAATAAATGTTTCCCGAACTGTAATAAGTGTCTTTTTCCACATCTTGTCGGTATCACCATACCTTTCCCCATCCTGGAGTTCATTGATATCCTCCTCAGAGTGAATTATACGGCCTATCTTTGTATCATCAGCAAAAAATTTCTCATGTCCCCTCTCTGGAACATCCTATCTCTGTCCCTTGTCTATTCCCCGCAGTATCTTGTATGTCGTTATCATGTCTCCCCTGACCCTTCTGTCCTCCCGTGTCGTCAGTCCGATTTCCCTTAACCTTTCCTCGTACGACATTCCCTTGAGCTCTGGGATAGCCTTGTTGCAAACCTTTTTACTTTCTCTAACTTCTTGACGTGTTGACCGGTTGGGTTCCAGACTGGTGCTGCATACCCAGTATGGGCCTAACATACACAGTGTACAGTGTCTTGAACGATTCCTTATTAAGGTATCGGAACGCTATTCTCAGGTTTGCCAGGCGCCCGAATGCTGCAGCAGTTATTTGGTTGATGTGTGCCTCCGGTGATGTGCTCGGTGTTATGGTCACCCCAAGGTCTTTCTCCCTGAGTGAGGTCTATAGTCTTTGTCTACCTAGCCTATACTCTGTCTGCGGTCTTCTTTGCCCCTCCCCAATCTTCATGACCTTGCATTTGGCTGGATTGAATTCGAGAAGCCAGTTACTGGACCACATGTCCAGCCTGTCCAGGTCTCTTTGTAGTCCTGCCTCATCCTCGTCCGATTTAATTCTTCTCATCAACTTCAGAGTCTATTCCTTCCATCATGTCATTCACATATATCAAAAATAGCACTGGTCCTAGAACTGATCCCTGTGGGACCCCGCTCGTAACAGGCGCTCACTGTGATACCTCTTCACGTACCATGACTCGTTGCTGCCTCCCTGTCAGGTATTCCCTTATCCATTGAAGTGCCCTCCCTTTTACATGCGCCTGATCCTCCAGCTTCTGCACTAATCTCTTGTGGGGAACAGTGTCAAAGGCCTTCCTGCAGTCTAGGAAAACGCAATCTACCCACCCCTCTCCCTCGTGTCTTACTTCTGTTACCTTGTCATAAAACTCCAGGAGGTTTGTGATACAAGATTTGCCTTCCATGAACCCATGCTGGTTTTCATTTATAATCTTGTTCCCTTCCAGGTGTTCGACCACTCTCCTCCTGATAATCTTCTCCATGACTTTGCACACAATACATGTCAGAGACACAGGTCTGTAGTTTAGTGCCTCGTTTCTGTTTCCTTTCTTAAATATGGGGACTACATTAGCTGTCTTCTATTTCTCAGGTAGTTGCCCAGTTTCAAGGGATGTGTTGAAGATTGTTTGTGTGTGTGTGTGTGTGTGTGTGTGTGTGTGTGTGTGTGTGTACTCACCTAGTTTGTACTCACCTAGTTGAGGTTGCGGGGGTTGAGTCCGAGCTCCTGGCCCCGCCTCTTCACTGATCGCTACTAGGTCACTCTCTCTGAACCGTGAGCTTTATCATACCTCTGCTTAAAGCTATGTATGGATCCTGCCTCCACTACATCGCGCTTCCCAAACTATTCCACTTACTGACTACTCTGTGGCTGAAGAAATACTTCCTAAACATCCCTGTGAGTCATCTGTGTCTTCAGCTTCAACTGTGTCCCCTTGTTACTGTGTCCAATCTTGGAACATCCTGTCTTTGTCCACCTTGTCAATTCCGCTCAGTATTTTTTTATGTCGTTATCATGTCCCCCCTATCTCTCCTGTCCTCCAGTGTCGTCAGGTTGATTTCCCTTAACCTTCCTCGTGGGACATACCTCTTAGCTCTGGGGCTAGTCTTTTTGCAAACCTTTGCACTTTCTCTAGTTTCTTTACGTGTTTGGCTAGGGGTGGGTTCCAAAATGGTCCCGCAACTCCAATTGGGCCTACGTACACGGTGACGGGGGTCCTAATGTTTTCCTTTTTAAGATGTCGGAATGCTTTTTCTGAGGTTTGCTGGGGCCCCCATATGCGCAGCAGTTTTTTGGGTTGATGTCGTTTCAGGAGATGTGCCTGGTGTTATACCCCCCCCCAAAGCTTTTTCCTTGGTGAGGTTTGAGTCTTGGCCCCCTAGACTGTACTCCTTTGCGGTTTTCTTCCCTTTCCCCAATTTTCTGACTTTGCATTTGGGTGGGTTTTGAACCCAGGACCCAAATTGCTGGCCCAGGTCGCAGCCTGCCCCAGCCCTTTTATTTTCTGCCTGGTCTTCGATCGAGTAAATTTCTTCTCTTCAACTTCGCGTCATCTGCAAACAGGAGCCCTCAGAGTCTTTTCCTTCCGTATATAATTCAAAAAATACCAGAAACGCATGGTCCTAGGACGCCCCTGTGGGCCCCCGCTGGCACGGTGCCCACTGACACCCCCCCACGTACCCTGACTCCTGCTGTCTTCCTGACAAATTTTCCCCGACCCTTGAGGCCCTTCCCTGTTATCCCCCCTTGGTCCTCCGTTTTTTTCCCCAACTCTTGTGTGGAACTGTGTCAAAGCTTCTTGCGTCCAAGAAAAGCAACCCCCACCCCTTCTTCTTTTCTTTTCTGCTGTCACATGTCACAGAAAAACCCGAGGTTTGTGACACAGGTTTTCCCCCCCCCCCCCGAAAAACCCTGTTTGGGTGCTGGATAGATCGTTTTCTTTTAGGTGTTCACCCCTCTTCTCCTATCATGACTATACATGTCAGGACATGGTCTGTAGTTTAATGCTTCAGTTTTTGTTCCTTTTTTAAAGATTGGGGGCTACATTTGCTGTTTCCCTGCCCCAGGCAATCTCCCTGTTTCGATGATGATTGAAAATTGTTGTTAGGGGGTACCATAGCGCCCCCTTTCCCCCTTCCCCAATACCCATGGGGAGTGTTACTGGCCCCATTGCCCCTTTTAGGTTCTGTCACTCAGAAGCCTCTTCCTTCTTCCCGGTTGTGTGCACTGGTCCGCACATGGTGGTGTGCCCCCCCTCTCCGTCCCTTTCGGAGCCCCCTTTTGTCTCCCTGTGAACATTTTTAAAACTCTTGTTTAGTTCCTCACATACTTATGGTCATTTTTTGTTGTCTTCCTCCCTTTCCCTTTCCCTTTGCCCGATTACCCGGGCCTTGACTGTTGTTTTTCCTCCGTGTGGGTGTACAAAGTTTCGGGTCAGTTTGGCTTTCGCTGCTATGCGTTTTCATATTGTCTTTGGGCCTCCCTTCTTATTGGCATATTCGTTTTTGGTCTGACTGCTCTCTTTTTCTCTGGGCCTTTGGGCCCTTTATATTTCTTCCCTTCCCTGCACACTTGGTTTTTTGCCTCCCTGCACCTTTGGGTGAACCCTGGGTCATCCCGGGTTTTTCTTATTCCCCGTTACCCTTGGGTACAAACCTCTCCTCAGCCTCCTTGCATTTTTGTTGTGTGTGTGTGTGTGTGTGTGTGTGTGTGTGTGTGTGTGTGTGTGTGTGTGTGTGTGTGTGTGTGTGTGTGTGTGTGCGTGTGTGTGTGTGTGTGTGTGTGTGTGTGTGTGTTGTGTGTGTACTCACCTAGTTGTGGTTGCAGGGGTCGAGTTATAGCTCCTGGCCCTGCCTTTTCACTGGGTGTGTGTGTGTGTGTGTGTGTGTGTGTGTACTCACCTAGTTGTGGTTGCAGGGGTCGAGTTATAGCTCCTGGCCCTGCCTTTTCACTGTGTGTGTGTGTGTGCCAAATAGGTAAAACTTTAGATTTTTTTTTAAATAGCAACGCTCTTCTTCCCGAATAAGGGAAGTGAAAATTTGGATATGCAATAATTTCTCAAAAATCATTCTGAACGTAACGATAAAAATACATTTCATTGTGTATGTTTACTATTAAATTATTGTGAACTTATTTAAAATATATTTAGTTGGATTAGGCTAAATTAAACTGCGCTTGTTATAATAAAGTTAGGTAGGTTTTCTAAGGTTCTTTTGGTACAAAAATATTAATTTTTATATTAACATAAACGAAAAAAAAATATATGTTTAAACGTAAAAGAGAAAACTGACCAAATGACTAATTGACCAATTTTACCTATTCGGCACGACATATTCACAACTCCTGGCCCCCGCCTTTTCGATATGTGTGTGTGTGTGTGTGTGTGTGTGTGTAACCAATCAAGACGGGTCAGCCATGAGATCCAGAAATTACAGGAGAAACAGCCAGCACTTGGTTTTCTTGGAAACCAAACACCGTCTAGACCTCGCCTTTCAGCTTACACCAAGACAAAGTTTCGCTCGGCGAAGAACTTCTTCAGATCCCGAAAGAGTTGAAAACAAAGAGAAACATGATTATAACAATCATGGCATACAATACAGACAAGTTGATGAACAAGACACAAGCGCAGCACTGAGATATCTACATTCCAAAACGTTGTACAGGTTCACGAAATCGTAATTACGTAATCACAGACCACGGTACATGTGAA